CTATTTCTGTTATAAATATGAATACGCCAAGAAGATCATCGATTTTGAAATTGCCCAAAGAAACACCGACTGTGTCAACAATAGCGCCTGAAGCTGAATCCAAAAATCGGCGTGTAAATTATAAAAATTTCTTATGATCAAAGTGATAATCTTATGAAATATCTAATTATTACGTATAGACAAACGTGATAGTCCTCCACATAAAAAGAAGAAAAGATCCCATGTAATGATGATTTTGAAAAAATAAGTGAGAACCAAGTTGCTGCTACCAATATTAAAAGCAATTGCACAACTATCACACTCAATGGTACTGAAGGAGATTTAGAATTAACACAATTTTATCAAAGTATTTTTGATAATAAAGAAAATGATATTCAGATCAGATGATGCTTAAAACCGTATCATGATGAGCAAAAATAATGATCTTCTTGGAAATAATTTGATACAAACACCACTAACAAGAAATGTGAAAGTGGCAACAGATATTCCTTCATTTATTTTTATTAAGATGAAAACAGTACAATACGTAATAAAAACTCATTGATAAAATCTAATAATGCTGCTACAAGTCAAAGTTATAAGAACAATTAAATTCAAATTCAAACGAAATTCATGCTCTTGATTCAACATATAAGGTTGTCAAATATCTCCCTTCCGCCTTTTTGTATTATAAACCAAGAGCAAAAAAGCGGAAGGGAGATATTTGACAACCTAATATTTATTAAGTGAAACCAAAAATAGTTTTATGATTAACAGAACCAATTCTTTCCTTTTACAAAATAATTTACAACAAACATTAAAACCAGAATGAGAATCATCAAATGTTATAGAAGAGAGAGAAAACCCAGTGACACCTTCCATGTTCGATATAACATCTGGGTTAAGGGGGTTGTTCTTTTTTTATTTTTCTTTGTTTCGGTTTTGAGATTTTTTGATATTATGAAAGCTAAAAACCTTAGAATTATTTAAAAAAAAAAAATCATCTCAATATCTATTTTTTTGACGAAGTTATAGATATATTTATCTCTATATGTATGATCCTCTGAAAGCGTTTTTTTATCGCTCCGCGAGCTATTGTATGCCAGCTGCTCTCTTTTTCAATATAATACCTCATGCACATGACCTTTTTAATGTGTCAGCATCTTTGAACACCATGGTGTATTTGGTACATTAAATTAAATGGTGTATTTAGTACATCACATTAAAAACTTTAAATACGTTTTTCTCAAAATGACTTTTTTCAATGCGGTGCCACAAATTTAAAAAAAAACTACAAGTCGGATGGACTTGCATTTTTTTTAATTTGTTCACCACTGCAATACCTAGTCCCCCTACCTCAAACAACTTGATAACATTAGGCAAAAAAATTTGCGAAGCTTCTCGCCCCAAAAAAAGACCTTTTTTGACACTTTTTTTTTTTAAATAGCTGCCATTTTTTCCCTTCTTGCTTTTTTTCTTTCATTTTGGTAGGGGGACTGGATTCAAACTTCTTCTTCAACGTAGTTTCTTTTTTTTTGTTTCGGGCGATGCGCAACAGAGTTATCTGTGGCACCGCAAAAGAGATCGAATTTTTCGAAAAAATGACGGCGCAAAAAAAAGAAGAAAATCAGCTAATATTCTATGACTTTGTAATTTTTGTTTAAAAAAAAACGCATGTCTCTATGATAAATACATTTCGAGAAAAACAAAAACAAATATCTTGCATTTTTTGTAACAAAAAAAGAACAACCTCCGTTAACTTTCTGTGAATAATAGGTTGTCAAATATCCCCCTTCCGCCTTTCTGTATTATAAACCATACAAAAAAGCGGAAGGGAGATATTTGACAACCTAATATGTTTTACCTGTTTTAGCACAGTCTATTTACATAAAATTATAATAAAAAAAAATATTTGGGGTAAAGGATGTACTTGGCTGTGTGTTTAGAGCACATTGGTAATAAATTTTTGACAAAATGGTTACTGGAAAAACTGTTCTCTAATCTTTTTTCTAACTTCTATCTATCTCGCTCGCTCTACCTATATTGCCGCATTCTTTCTCTCTTTCTTGCCATAGAAAATTTTATTCAGTTTGCGTTGCATTTAGTTTGGCAAATAACGACTCAAAGTAAAGTATGGATGCTTTTGCCTTGATAAAATTTTTTTTAGAATAAATTTTATGTTGAAATATGAATAGAACGCCCTGAGACAATTTGTTCATTCATTTAAATTGAAATATTCGAATTGAGATGCTTTAGAGTCTAGTTTTTGTGTATTTTAGTATTGTATATGTCAAAAAAATAGTATATAAGTCTAGTCGAAAGTTATGGTGAAAAATAGTTTTTTTTAAAGACTAATTGATAGACGAATCTTAGCCCTTAAAATGCAAGAGTCATATGAAAAGCAGTAAAATTACAATTAAACCACTTCTCATAGGCCTATAATATTTTACGACTATCAACTCTATTAAATCTGAAGTGAATAAAAATGTACGAATTTTACTGTAACTTACAATTAAACATTATAATTTTAATATGGCTTGCCAATTAGAATTAAGCACTTATACGCTACACTCATAATTTATATATAAAAAATTTATTACATTTATTAAAAATATTCCACCGATTGAATTAAAACATTAGTTGTTAATAATAACAACAATGTTTCAATCATTTCAAAAATCCAGTCTTTGCTGATTTCCAAATATCACATTATACTATTTTTTTAAGTAAAACTTTGAATTGAATAAAAAACGTAAAAACGTAAAAACGTAAAAACGTAAATAAAAATTCTTGGGTCGATTCTGCTGTAAAATAGATTAATGTTATGGCAAGGTTATGTTAGTTTGAGTTTTTATACAGAATAGTACTAAAAACTATCAAAATATCATTTTATTTGACATTTGACATCGCATGGTTGTGCGATCAGGCATATTACACATAAAATGAAACTTCACTCATATGTTTTATCAAAGATACAGTTATGATAACATAGTTTTTTGGTATTTGAAGGTTTTTTAGGTTAGATTTTCTATCAAAAACGCCTGGCTGCACCGCAACTACATAGGATTTTAACAGTTTTTAGTCTGAGAATGTTCTAAAATGTCGGAGTATGTTCCAAAATGTCTGAGAATGTTCTGAAATGTCGGAGAATGTTCTGAAATACCTAAAAATCTTTGAAATGTTTGGAAATGTTTTAAAATGTTTGGAAATGTTTAAAAATGTCTATAAATGTTTTAAAATGTCTGAGAATGTTCTGAAATGTCTAAGAATGTTCTGAATTGTTTGAATATGTTCTGAAATGCCTGAGAATTTTCACAACTGTCTGCAAATGTTTTGAAATGTCTGATAAATGTTTTGAAATGTCTCACAAATGTTTTGAAATGTCTCACAAATGTTTTGAAATATCTGATAAATGTTTTGAAATGTCTCACAAATGTTTTAAAATGTCTGAAAATGTTCACAACTGTCTGAGAATGTTTTAAAATGTCTGAGAATATTCTGAAATGTCGGAGAATGTTTTAAAATATATGAGAATGTTTTAAAATGTCTGAGAATATTTTGAAATGTCGGAGAATGTTTTAAATTATATGAGAATGTTTTAAAATGTATGAGAATGCTTTAAAATGTATGAGAATGTTTTAAAATGTCTGATAATATTTTAAAATGACTGAGAATGCTTTAAAATGTATGAGAATGCTTTAAAATGTCTGATAATATTTTAAAATGTCTGAGAATGCTTTAAAATGTCTGAGAATGCTTTAAAATGTCTGATAATGTTTTGAAATGTCTGATAATGTTTTAGAATGTATGAGAATGTTCCGAAATGTCTGAGGATGTTCTAAAATATCTAAGAATATTTTGAAATGTCGGAGGTTTTAAAATGTCTGAGAATGTTTAAAACGTTTGAAAATGTTCTAAAATGTATGAGAATGTTCTAAAATGTATGAGAATGTTTTAAAATGTATGAGAATGTTTTAAAATGTATGAGAATGTTTTAAAATGTATGAGAATGTTTTAGAACGTATGAGAATGTTTTAAAATGCCTGAGAATGTTTTAAAATGCCTGAGAATGTTCAAAAATGCCTGAAAATGTTCAAAAATGCCTGATAATGTTCAGAAATGTTTGAGAAAGTTCTGAAATATCTAAGAATGTTCTAAAATGTCTGAGAATATTCTAAAATGTCTGAGAATGTTTTATAATGTCTGAAAATGTTCTGAAATGTCCGAAAATGTTCTGAAATGTCTGAGAATGTTCCAAAATGTCTGAAAATGTTCTGAAATATATGAAAATGTTTTAAAATGTCTAAAATGTTCTGAAGCGTCTGAAATGTCTGAAAATGTTCTAAAATGTCTGAGAATATTCTAAAATGTCTGAAAATGTTCTGAAATGTCTGAAAATGTTCACAACTGTCTGAAAATGTTCTGGAGTGTAGGAAAACGTTTCAAACTGTCTGAAAACGTTTCAAATTATCTAAAAACATTCCAAACTATCTAAAAACATTCCAAACGGCCTGAAAATGTTCTGAAATGTATGAAAACGTTCTGAATTGTATGAAAACATTCACAAGAATAGAATTTTGGAGTGTTTGAAAATATTTTGGAGTGTCTTAAGAACATTTTGGAGTGTCTTAAAATATTATGGAGGGTCTGAAAATCTTGTTAGTTGTAAAAATCTTATGAATTGTAAATTGTATAAATATTGTATATTGCAAAAATCTTGGAAATTTTAAATATCTTGTAAATTTTAATAATCTTGTAAATTTCAAATATCTTGTAAATTTTAAATATCTTGTGAATTTTAAATATCTTGTGAATTTTAAATATCTTGTGAATTTTAAATATCTTGTGAATTTTAAATATCTTGTGAATTTCAAATTTCTTGTAAATTTTAAATATCTTGTGAATTTCAAATATCTTGTAAATTTTAAAAATCTTGTATTATAAATTGTAATGAAATCTTGTAAATTGTATGAAATCTGCTACATTACATAACTTTGCCATATCATAGGCCTATTCTACGACAGAATCGGCCGCTAAATATGGATAATAAAATTTAATAATATTTTAACATCCGGATCTGCATCTTCAACAAAATATTTGACCGTAGCAAATCAATTTTACATAACCCCACACTTAAAATTCGACATAACAAACATTAACTAAAAATAATAAAACTTAATAAAAAATTTATAAAAATTCCTACTACCTGGCAAAAAACAAAAGATCAATCATTCCCCGAAGTTGTACTCGTTTTTGTACTTTGCAGTCCCTTATACAAATCCAGCGCCGATTTCCTCAATTTAACAGTAAGGCTCCGGATCTCTTTATCTTCGGCGACGATATTTTTAATAATCTCTCCGGCAAATTTCTGATGTTTTTGGTCGACCACCCATCTTAAAAATAATTCTCTCCAAAGTACAATACTTACTGGTGCCACCGATGGCCAAATTATGTGCGAATTTGGCTCGTAAACCGGATTCAGATATTTTACGATGATGTCTGGTCTGTTTAAATAGGACCAGAGACTTGTGGTTCTTGTGAATAGCTTGAAGAATTGTCGTTCTTTTTCGCAATCGCCGAGGAAAGTACCTGAAAGGGTAATGGAAATTGTTTGAATCAATTTTTGCCCTAAGGAAAGTGATTTGTCCGCGAAATTAATACTTTTAATGAGTTTGTAGTAAACGAGCTTCAAGAAGTTTTACTTCAAAAGTTTTAGATTGTAGGTTTTATAGCATGTGGGGTGTCGTTTGAAAGGTCTCGACGAGTAGAAAACGATTTTTATAAAAAAATGATCATATTACGTAACCATATTTTAGTGCAACAAATATTAGAATGTTAATTTTATCTTTTTTTAAATATGTAAGGTGTAAAACTTTTGTAGCCAATGCTAATTAGATTTTCTATGTGATTTGTCCACAAAATATACTCTTTTTACGCATTTTTAGTAAAACGAGCCTAAAGAAGTTTTACTTCAAATATTTAAGATTGTAACTTTTATGGCATGTGGGGTATCGTTTAAAAGGTCTCGACGAGTAGATTTTCACAATGTGACACTAAAAACGTGATATTTTATTGTACAAAATATTAACTTGACTAGGTGTAAATGGCAATTTGCCTTAAGGCAAGTTGCTTGTACTTCCCGATGCGTGAGATTACAAATGAAAGTCCTTCAAACATATTTCAAATATACATTTTTAATTAATTTGTAGTAAACGAGCTTAAAGAAGTTTTACTTCAACAAATTTAAATTATGTTTTTTCGGCATGTTAGGTATCATTTGAAAGGTATTTTTGAATAGAATCCAAACGACAAAATTAACTATGTGATTTGTCCACAAAATATACAATTTTTATGAATTTGTAGTAAACGAGCTTAAAAAAGTTTTACTTCAAGAAATATAAATGATGTTTTTTGGCATGCTAGGTATCATTTGAAAGGTCTTTTTGAATAGAATGTAAATATTAAATTAAATATGTGATTTATCCGCAAAATATATACTTTTAACGAATTTGTAGTAAACAAGCTTAAAGAAGTTTTACTTCAAAAAAATTTAATCGTGTTTTTCGGCATGTAGGGTATCGTTTGAAAGGTCTTCTTGAATAGAATCCGAATATTAAAAATAACTATGTGGTTTGTTCACAAAATATACACTTTTAATGAATTTGTAGTGAACAAGCTTAAAAAAGTTTTACTTCAAAAAATTTAAATTGTTTTTTTTTCGGCATGTTGGGTGTAATAGAATCAAAATATTGAGAGTAACAAAGTGGTTTGTTCACAAAATATACACTTTTAATGAATTTTTAGTTAAGGAGCTTGAAGAAGTTTTACTTCAAAATTTTTAAATTGTGTTCTTTTGGCATGTTGGGTATCGTTTGAAAGGTCTTTTTGAATAGAATCCGAATACAAAAATTGTCTATGTGGTTTTTAAAATATACACTTTTAATGAAATTGTAGAAAACGAGCTTAAAGAAGTTTTACTTCAAAAAATATAAATAGTGTTTTTTTGGCTTGTTGGGTATCGTTTGAAAGGTCTTTTTGAATAGAATCCAAATATTAAAAGTAACTATGTGGTTTTTCTACAAACAATACACTTTTAATAAATTTCTAGTAAACGAGCTTAAAGAAGTTTTACTTCAAAATTTTATATTGTATCTTTCATATCATGTGGGGTATCGTTTAAAAGGTTTCGACAAGTAGAAAACGATTTTCAAGAAAAAAAAGATTATATTGTAATAAAAACGTAATACTATATTGCAAAAAATATTAGAATGTTAAAATATATCGATTTTTTTTTAAATATGTAAAGTGTAAAACTATAGAAACCAATACAAAAATTAACTATGTGATTTGTCCACAAAATATACACTTTTTACGCATTTTTAGTAGACAAACTTAAAGAAGTTTTACTTCAAAAATATTAGATCGTTTTTTTACCGCTTGTGGGGTATCGTTTAAAAAGTCTCGACGAGTAGAAAACGATTTTCACAAGAAAAAACATTATATAATATTAAATAAAAACATATACTTAATCCTATTGGAATGTTAAAATTTATCTGTTTAAAAAAGTGAGGTGTAAAACTTTTGAGAAAACTTTGGCAAAATATCAATCATCAGTACACACACATACACACACATACTATTTCTAAATTTCATCTCATTCGATTGTTAAAAATATTATTTATTATCACTTACCATACTGGCTAAAATAACTCTGCTCAAACAGCTCAATCAGGTAATCGATTGTAAATTCAAAGCTCAAACTGAACTGTTTGTGTATTTGATGAACACAATCTAAAAACAGCAAAAACGTCGCATTGTTTTGTTTATTTCTACCATCCTGACTGTTGCTGTAACAAGAAAACCTATGCCTGGTTGTAAACGGGTAACCGGCTTGGACCCATTCTCTTTCTATGAGAGCTTGGAGACTAAAAGAGAAAAAAAAAACAATTTATTAACTTTTTTTTATTTTATATATATTTATTTTATTATTTACTAGATGACCCGACAGACGTTGTTCTGTGCCCATGTCTACAATTTTTTAATATAATATACTTTAATATTTACCGTTTACCTAAAAATAATAAATGTTTCACTCTTCACGCCAAAATGCATATACATTTATAATATAAGCGATTTTAAATGTAGAACTGCTTTAAACAATGACATGTCGTTTTTTGCAATTTTTTCCATTTCCCACATACCAGTACTTTATAATCACATATATATTATAAAATTTCCTTAACAAACTTCAGAAACATTTATCAAAATCCGAATAATCGTTTAGGAGGAGTACTTTATATAATAGCAATAAAGCTCAAATTGATTCTACGTTTTAGTTAAATAACGTTTGTATGTGAAAGAGGGTTTTCCCGGCAATTATTCGATTTTTTGTCGCCTTCAACAAACATTTTAAAAAAAGAATTGGCCAAATCGGTCCAGGCGTTGTTGAGTTATGCGCTTACCAACACATTTTGCGATTCATTTTTATATATAAGATTAACTTGTTTTATATTAATCTTTTTTTATTTTCCATAAATTATTTTTGTAATTTTGGTTTAAAAATTCAAAAAATTGCCCAGGCTAAGGACAGTCTAAGCGTCACTTTGGTACAAATGTTGCACCCAAGTGCGTTTAGACCGTTTATGTACGGGGCACTTTTCCAATTTTGTGAGAAAAATGTGAAAATGACGCCAAGCTAAGCACAGTATAAGTGAAAATGTCGCACAGAATTATTTGCAAAAGCGTTTAGACTGTGACTGTATGGGCGCACTTTTTCAAATTTTGTGTAAATTAGGCGACTTTTTTTTTGTAATTGAATTCGAAACAAAATGACGATTGTTAATGTTCCTGGAGATATATTGATTGATTCATGATTTACATTTGATTTGCTCACATATAACAAGATATATTATAGGCCTAAGGAAAGTTGTAAAATATTATAGGCCTAAGAAAAGTTGAAAAATATTATAGGCCTAAGAAAAGTTGAAAAATATTATAGGCCTAAGAAAAGTTGAAAAATATTATAGGCCTAAGTAAAGTTGTAAAATATCATAGGCCTATGAAAATAAAAAAAGTAATAAATATTATGGTAAAAATCATTGATGTTGGAAATTCATTATCAGAATACTTGGTAAAATATTATAGGCCTAATGAAAGTTCTAAAATATTATAGACCTAAATAAAGTTGTAAAATATTATGGGCATAGGTAAAGTTGTAAAATTTTATAGGCCTAAAAAAGTTGTATGATATTATAGGCCTGAAAAAAGTTGTATGATATTATAGGCCTGAAAAAAGTTGTAAAATATTATAGGCCTAAGAAAAGTTGTAAAATATTATAGGCCTGAAAAAAGTTGTAAAATATTATAGGCCTAAGAAAAGTTGTAAAATATCATAGGCCTATAGAATGTCGTAAAAAATTATAAATCTATGAAAATAAAAAAAATAATAAATATTTTGGTAAAAATCATTGATGTAAGAAATTCATCATAAGAACAAATGCGTTTAGACTGTGATTATACGGGAGCACTTTTTCAATTTTGTGTAAATTAGACAATTTTTTTTTTTTTGAAATTGAATTAAAAAATGCAAGAGCAAAAAGGAACTCTACTGACGAGCAAACTAAAACTAGCGGTGTATGGCATCGTGCCTTAAGGCAAATTGCTGAAACTTCCCGTACCGTAATGAAATATTCGAGAAATTTTAAACGTTTTCAAATATATTATTACAAATACTGAAACTAACATTATTTTTGCTATCTTGTATATCTGAGGTAACCCAGGCTAAGCACAGTCTAAGCGCCACTCTGGTACAAATGTTTACGCAAGTGCGTTTAGACTGTTTATGTACCGGAACACTTTTCTAATTTTGAACCGGAAAACTATTGAAAAATATGAAAATCCCGCCGAGCTTAGCACAGTATAAGTGAAAATGTCGCACAGAATTATTTGCAAATGCGTTTAGACTGTGACTATACGGAAGCACTTTTTCGATTTTGTGTAAATTAGACAACTATTTTTTGTTTTTGAAATTGAATTCGAAACGAAATGACGATTGTTAATGTTCTGGAAATAAATTGATTTATGATTTGCATTTGATTTGCTCCTAAGATATAACAATAAGATAGTAAAAATAATGAAAGTTACGGTATTTGTAATAATATATTTGAAAAGATCAAAGAGAGAAGGGACTCTACTGACGAGCAACATTATAAATTAGTAAAACAAATAAGATTTAAATGCGACTTTGGTAAAAAGAAATAAGTGACAAAATTAATTTTATTGAAAAAAAGGACTCTACTGACGAGCAACTCATTTAAAATAATTAATTTTAATGGTAAAAGGAATACTGTTGACAAACAACTTCGTTCTATTATTTTATTAATATTTTACTAATTTTTAACCAAAATTTAAGTTGCTCGTCGGTAGAGTCTCTTCTCTTCTTTAAAAATTGTTTTTATTTTTTATAAAATATTTTTGTAATTTTGGATTAAAAATTCAAAAAATTACCCAGACTAAGCACAGTCTAAGCGCCACTCTGGTACAAATGTTTACCCAAGTGCGTTTAGACTGTTTCTGCACAGGAACACTTTTCTAATTTTGTGAAAAAACTATTGAAAAATGTGAAAATGCCGCCAACTAAGCACAGTATAAGTGAAAATGTCGCACAGAATTATTTGCAAATGCGTTTAGACTGTGACTATGCGGGAGCACTTTTTTGAATTTTGTGTGAATTAGGCAACTATTTTTAAAATTGAATTCAAAATGATAATGGACTTATGATTTACATTTGATTTGCTCAGATATAACAAACAAGATAGCGAAAAAATAAAAGTTACAGTATTTGTAATAATATATTTGAAAACGTTTAATATCTCTCGAATATTTCATTACAGTGCGGGAAGTTCCAGCAATTTGCCTTAAGGCACGATGCCATACACCACTAGTTTAATTATAATTTTATGGCAATCATTGTCTACTTACCCCCTGACGGTTCGACAATCAGGATTCAAAATGATTTGTGTTAAACTAGTGACCAGTAATGTGGAGTCCATTCCTTTGGTGCCGTGTACCAAAACAGGACAACCTTCTAATTCTAAACATTGGGCTACTAAACATGATACCGATAATGTGCTAAGGACATGTCCTAACCAGCCTGAGGATTCTAATCGGGATATCCATTTATCAGAACTGCATCCGGTGTCATTACAAGCTAGAAAAAAAGACAAATAGTTGAAATGTTTTACACTGTTAATTGTAATATGAAGTAGGTTTAAGTCATATACGAAATATATCCTAAAGGACATTTAAAAAACAATCTAAATTTTTTGAACAAAAACTTCTTTAAGCTCGTTTTCTACAAATTCATTAAAAGTGTGTATTTTAAATACATTTGAAGGACCTCTATTGGAAATCACACGTATCGCGAAGTAAAAGCAACTTGCCTTAAGGCAAATTGCCATTTACACCTAGTCAAGCTAATATCTTGTACAATGAAATATTACGTTTTTAGTGTCACGTTGTGAAAATCGTTCTCTACTCGTCGAGACCTTTCAAACGATACCCCACATGCTATAAAACTTGTAATCTGAAATTTTGAAGTAAAACTTCTTTAAGGTCGTTTACTAAAAATGCGTTAAAAGTGTACATTTTGTGGACAAATCATGTATTTAATATCAGTATTTGTTTGGAAAGTTTTATATTTCACATATTTACAAAAAAAATCAATAAATTTCAACATTCTAATATTTTTTGCAATATTATATTAAATTTTTATTACAATATAATCATTTTTTTGAGAAAATCGTTTTCTACTCGTCGAGACCTTTTAAACGATACCCCACATGCGATAAAAAACACAATTTAATTTTTTTGAAATGAAGCTTCTTTAAGCTCGCTTATTATATATACGTAAAAGGTGTACATTTTGTGGACAAACCTCATAACTAATTTCAGTATTTGGATAATATTTAAAAAGACCTTTCAAACGATACCCAACATGACCAAAAAACACAATTTAATATTTTTGAAGTGAAACTTCTTTAGGCTTGCTTACTAAAAATTCATCAAAAGCGTATTATTTGTTGACAAATCACATAGTTAATTGCAATATTCGGATTTTATTCAAAAAGACCTTACAAACGACACCCAACATGCCAAAAAAAACTCAATCTAAAGTTTTTGAAAGAAAACTTCTTTAAGCTCGTTTACTAAAAATTCATCAAAAGTGTATTATTTGTAGACAAATTACATAGTTAATTGCAGTATTCGGATTTTATTCAAAAAGACCTTTCAAACGACGCCCAACATGCCAAAAAAACTTAATCTAAAGTTTTTGAAGTGAACCTTCTTTAAGCTCGTTTACTGAAAATTCATCAAAAGTGTACATTTTGTGGACAAACCATATAGTTGATTTCAATATGAGATTATATACAAAAAGACCTTTAAAACGTCCATTACTAGGTTTTTAGGAGAGGAGGGGTTTGATAAAAAAAATCAGGAAATATCACGTGAGGGGTATAGTAAGATATGACGTGAATTCAGTTTTACCTGATTTTTTTTTTTTAAACGAACATTTTCAAAAAATATTCATAAATTTTATAATTTTTTAACATTACTAAAAATACACGTGATATTTGGTAAGAAAGGAGGGTAATTTAGAATATCACCACGTATTCCCAAAGGGGAAGAGAGATCCAAAAATCCTTAAAAAGTTGATCAAGTGATTAATAGACGCCCACAAAATATATACTTTTAACGAATGTATTGCAGAACAGTCTAAAGAAGTTTTACTTCAAAAAATTTACATTGTATCTTTTATATCATGTGGGGTATCGTTTAAAAGGTCTCGGCGAGTAGAAAACAATTTTTACAAAAAACAATATATTGTAATAAAAAATGTTGGAATGTGAGGTGTGAAAATGTCGACAATTATTAGTACACACACACACAAGCGTGAAAGGAGTGAAACTTCGTGATGTGGGAATGGAAATATAGAAAAAAAAACATTTAGAATTTTAGACAGTCGTGTTAGGATAGTCTATGACATGCCAGAACAGTCCATGGACAACTTACAAAACCTAAGTATGATTTTTAAATAATAACAATCATCTTACCTTCAACTAACTTAGTAAGAGACTCCAGCAACCCATGAGAGACTTTATCCAAAGGTCTATGTAGTTTCTTCCATTGCGTGTAATGCTGATCGGGTTCACTGCCTCCGCCTTTGCTTTTGCAATGACTCAAAAGATTCGTAGATCTCGTATCGATTATGTAGCCTCTTTTATCGAAAAACAGGATCGAATTTAGAATTAATTCGTCTTGTCTACACCTTCTTAGGTTTGAACCCACTAGTGGTTGGGAACTTCTAAGTAACACAGCCTGGGGGAAAAGATATATGTATATGTATATGTATATATATATATATATATATATATATCTTATATATAAAAATAAATAGCAAAATGTGTTGGTAAGCGCATAACTCAACAACGCCTGGACCAATTTGGACAATTATTTTTTCAAAATGTTTGTTGAAGTCCAAGGATGGTTCTTACGGCGAGAAAAAATTGGATAATTGCCGGGAAAACCTTAAAAACAGCCCTTTTCTTTTTCACATACAAACGTTTTCTAACTAAAACTTAGAACCAATTTGAGCTTTATTGCTTTTATATAAAGTTCATATTAAATTACAAACACTCGCTATATCCTCCTCCTAAACGATTATACGGATTTTGATAATTCTTTCTGAAGTTTGTTAAGGAAATTTTCTAGGATGTATGTGATTATAAAGTACTGGGATGTGCATGCAATATTGTAGAAATAAATGAAAAAAATAGCAAAAAACGACATGTCATTGTTCGCATTGAAAACAAATGAAAACTATGATCTGCCAAAAATTTCAATTTACTTATAAACCTAGACAGTATTAGAATAAGTATAATAAGTTTATGATTATGAATAAGTAAAAAAGAAATGTCTACTATTCTTATAAATTTTAAAAAAGGACTCTACAGACAAGCATACTGATTTTTTTTAAAAAAATTGAAAGCAAGAAGAGACTCTACTTACGAGCAAACTGATTTCTGAAAATATTCTTATAAATTTCAATGGAAAAGGGACTCTACTTACGATCAAACTGATTTTCGAGGTCATTTTTATACATTTCAAAAGGAAAAAGGAACTCTACTCGTGAGTAAACTGATTTCTGAAAATATTTTTATAAAATTCAATGGAAAAGGGACTCTACCTACGATCAAACTGATTTTCGAGGTCATTTTTATACATTTCAAAAGGAAAAAGGAACTCTACTCGTGAGTAAACTGATTTCTGAAAATATTCTTATAAATTTCAATGGAAAAGGGACTCTACCTACGATCAAACTGATTTTCGAGGTCATTTTTATACATTTCAAAAGGAAAAAGGAACTCTACTCGTGAGTAAACTGATTTTCGACAATATTCTTATTAATTGAAAAGGAAAAGGGGACTTTACTGACGAGCAAACTGATTTCTGAAAATATTTTTATAAATTTCAAGGGAAAAGGGACTCTACTGACGAGCAAACTGATTTTCCACAATATTCTTATTAATTGAAAAGGAAAAGGGGACTTTACTGACGAGCAAACTGATTTCTGAAAATATTTTTATAAATTTCAAGGGAAAAGGGACTCTACTGACGAGCAAACTGATTTTCCACAATATTCTTATTAATTGAAAAGGAAAAAGGGACTGATTTCTGAAAAAAAATTAATTTGAAAGTAAAAGGAGACTCTACTGACAAGCAAACTGATTTCTGAAAAAAAATAATTTGAAAGCAGAAAGGGACTCTATTTACGAGCAAACTGATTTCCGAAGATTTTTTTTTTATAATTTTCAAAAAGCGATTACTGACTAGGAAACTATTTCCGAAGCAAAAAGAGACTCTACTCTAATTTCCGAAGGAGTCCTTATATTAGAATAAGTATAATAAATTTATGATTATGAATAAGTACAAAGAAATGTCTACATTATTATTGCCAAAGAGCAGCTGAGATGTGCCAGATATTAAAATAATATAAGATACAGTATATGTATGGCAGATTGAATGATACACATATGAACAGGATTTGACAAATTAATTCACTTAAAATATGAAATTAAGTAATAATAAGATTCGGATATGAAATTTTCAATATAGTTTTTTTTTCAATAAATAATTTCTTTGCATCTTTTACTAATCTTTTCACATTTTCAAAATTCGTAAAAATTTCACTTTATAACAACAAATGGGAAAGTAAAGAGTAATACATACAATTCGGCCCTTACAATATCAATTTAGAGAAGTTTAAGATGCAATTTTGGATATCTTAAATAATGAAAAATTAAATTAAAATAATCCAACATGAAGTACTAGTGGTATATTTAATAATGAAAGGCCAGAATTTTTTTGCGCTCTATGATTTGCTCAATAGAATAAATCGCGTAAAATGCTCGAAATAAATATGAAAATTGTTTCAAAAGCCAGATATTAATTAATGATAATAATTTTAATAATGAAATGTTAAAACAGGTAAAATAATAGAGGGGGGGGGCTGAAGACCCCAGGAGCCTCCCCGGTAAAAATGTGTATTAAATTATTACTAAGAAAAATGTAATTTAGATATTATAATTACTAAAAATCAGTTAAAATATAATACGAGATTATAAAAATTATAAGCAACATTATTGGAGAAATTATTTTGGGTGCAAAAATACAAGATAATATTGTACTTTTACCGCGGACACTATATATTAAATTTTTCTGAATTTGTTATATCGTTTAAAAGACTTCAATTTCCAATATAGTGTGGGAATTGAGACTCATCATTTTATTTAAAGCAATTTTACATTTAACATCGCTCATATTATAAATGTATATGCATTTTGGCTTGAAGAGTAAAAAACAATAATTATTACTTTTAGGTAAACGGTAAATATTATTATATTATATCAAAAAATTGTAGACATGGGTACCGGACAACGTCTGTCGGGTCATCTAGTATATATATATATATATATATATATATATATATATACACCTAAGTCTGTTTTTACTCGGAGATTGGTTCCAGAAGAAGCCGTGAAAAAAAAAACGTGTAAAAAAAGACATTGATCTTATACAAAAATGGGCGATTTGTCCTACTCTCTAAAACCTATTAAAATTGGTGAAAAACAAGAATTTTCAAGAACAAGAATTCATGTTTATTTTAATAATAATTCCTCTAAATTAGTGCTATTCACATTTGCTTTGACCAGTAAAAATTGTTTGTACGCGCTAAAGGGGAATTCACTTAAATCTTTAAGCTAGTGTTCGCAAACCTATCGATACTATCGATGGTTTCAGACTTTTTTCCTTCATAAATACTTTTTGTGATATGAACATACTTCGCAAAAATTAAATTTGACAAAAAAAAATTAAGTACATAAAATTTCAAATCGTGCTAAATGGAATAAAATCGTGTAAAAAAATTAAAAATATTCAAGTTTCAAATCGTGTTATATCAAAAGCGTGTACAAAAAGACCGTGTAAAAACAGACTTAGGTGTGTATATATATATATATATATATATATATATATATAATATATATGAGTATATATATATATATATAATATATGAATTTTATTTTACCCCATTTTCATGTTTATAACTAAAAACAGGAAACCGTCCACCGTCTCTAAACAAAGCAGACGCTATCAGGACTTCATCACTAACTCGTCTAGGTACTACGACTATCGATCCATAAGTTGGACAAATTGAAAAATCTTTATTTACAAAACTCAGTCGCCAATCGTCACTTGATAACACTTTTGCATATTCGGTTTCAGGCCTAAAAAAAAACAATAACAAATAATTAAAACATACAAATAAGTATTACTATTTACACATATAAATTTATATTTATATTTGCATTTGAATTTGTATTTATATTTATATTTGCATTTATATATTTATATTTATATTTGCATTTATATTTATATATTTGCATTTATACTTATATTTGCATTTATATTTATATTTGCATTTATATTTATATTTATATTTGCATTTATATTTATATTTGCATTTATATTTATATTTGCATTTATATTTATATTTGCGTTTATATTTATATTTGCATTTATATTTATATTTGCATTTATATTTATATTAGCATTTATATTTATATTTATATTTATATATGCATTTATATTTATATTTATATTTATATTTGCATTTATATTTATATTTATATTTATATTTATATTTGCATTTATATTTATATTTGCATTTATATTTATATTTGCATTTATATTTATATTTATATTTATATTTGCATTTATATTTATATTTGCATTTATATTTATATTTGCATTTATATTTATATTTGCATTTATATTTGCATTTATATTTGCATTTATATTTGCATTTATATTTATATTTATATTTGCATTTATATTTATATTTGCATTTATATTTATGTTTGCATTTATATTTATATTTGCATTTATATTTATATTTATATTTATATTTATATTTATATTTATATTTATATTTATATTAATATTAATATTTGCATTTATATTTATATTTGCATTTATATTTATGTTTGCATTTATATTTATATTTTGCATTTATATTTATATTTGCATTATATTATATTGCATTTATATTTGCATTTATATTAATATTTATATTTATATTCATATATTATATTTATATTTATATTCATAGATTTATATTTATATTTGCATTTATATTTATATTTATATCTATATTTATATTTGCATTTATATTTATATTTGCATTTATATTTATATTTTGCATTTATATTTGCATTCATATTGATATTGATATTTATTTTATATTTGCATTTATATTTATATTTGCATTTATATTTATACCTATATTTAGATTTATAGGGATTTATATATTTATTTATATATTTCTTTCTATATTTATATAATTATCTATATAATTATTATAGATATTTATTTATATATTTATTTATATATTATATTATATTTGCATTTATATTTATATTTGCATTTATATTTATATTTGCATTTATATTTATATTTGCATTTATATTTATATATATATATATATATATATATATTTATATTTATATTTGCATTTATATTTATATTTATATTTATATTTGCATTTATATTTATATTTATATATGTATATATTTATATTTATATTTATTATATTTATATTTATATGTAAGTATTACTATTATTAGATGTTTACCTAAAAAGTGTATACCCGTCTTCTAATATATTATACATAGGGCGATAAAAAAATGGGTAAGACTGCGGGATGTCATCTAAAAAATGTATTTTATCTATAGTAGTATAAATAGCGTTGAATTCAGGCGTTGTGGCTATTTCGAGTTGTATTATTCTAAAATCTTTGCACTTGATAATTATTGTTCCGCCTCTGTGTACGTTGTTCACCATGTTCAGTTTCTTGTCCACATGGTCGATGCATTTATGAAGAATCTGAAATAAAGGAGATAAATGTACTGATACTGATCAATGTTATGGCAAGGCCATGTTATGAAGAACTTTCCATACTAAATATTGTTACATGATATCGATTATCTAAAAAATGATAAGGATTGTGTGACTACATATGCCTCATTAATTATTCTTATATTCTTATATTCTAAATGATTCCTTTACCCCTATTTTATTTATTACCCATAATTCTTCAGCTCCTTCTTGTCTCGAGCTCAAAATAATATGATGACCCGTAATACAGAGCGTTCCATTAAATTTCGTACAGAAAGGACTATGCAAAATCACACCATCTAATTTTGGTATTGATATAAACTCAGCAAATTCCATTTCTCGAACTCTAGAAACTTCTTTGGAACACTTGCGATAGAATATTTGTTTAAAATCTCCATAAAGTGGGCGGTTTCACAAATTAATGATAAAAATCAACTACATAACCTCAAAAGGGATAAAAGATTAGAAGGGTAAAATTGGGTAAGATTTTAAATTGGAGGGTAAAGGATACTTGGGTGTGTTTTTAGAGTATAGTGGTGGTTGAATTAAAAATTAAAATTAGTTAATTTGTCAACGTCAAAATTTAGGAAAAGAATTGACATCACATATGTCATACAAAAGCAACTACCTGTGGATTATGAGTTGTCAAAATGGCGTGAAAGATGGCGGAACTGTTTAATTTAAAAAAATTATATAAAAATTATTTAAAAATACAGAAACAAATTTAAAAATTGCATAAAAAAATAACAATTTATATTTACTAATAATCAATGCTTCAAAATACTTATTGCAATTAATTGAATTTAATAAAAAATTATATCACATATGTGATACGAGCAATTAGCTATCATGAGTTTTCAAAATGGCGCCAAAGATGGCGTCAATGTTTAACTTAAAAACATTTATTTAAAAATTATTTAAAAAAAAATTGAATGAAAAAATCGCAACGAATCTTTACTTATAATCTTTAATAATAATCAATGCAAAAAATGCTAAGCGCTATTAATTAAAATTAAAAGAATTCACATTATATATGTCAAACAAGCAACTAGCTGTCATAAGTTTTCAAAATGGCGCCAACGACTTAAAAACATTTATTTAAAAATTATTTTTAAAAAAATGAATGAAAAAATCGCAATGATTTTACTAATAATCTTTACTAATGATAAATGCAAAAAATGCTGATTGCAATTAATTAAATTTAAAAGAATTCTCATCACATATGTCACGCAAGCAATTATCTTTAGTTTAAAAATATTTATTTGAAAATTATTTAAAAAAATTGCATCAAAAACTGGTAATTTATCTTCAAATAATCAATGCTAATTGCAATTAATTAAATTTAAAAAAATTCATCACGTATTAGGATAAAGAGTATTCAAAATGGTGTCAAAGATGTCGTCAATGTTTAACTTAAAAACATTTATTTAAAAATTATTTTGAAAAAATTTCACGAAAAAAATCGCAATGAATCTTTACAAAAAATCTTTACTAATAAACAATGCAAAAAATGCTACTTGCAATTAATTAAATTTAAAAGAATTCACATCACATATGTCATGCAAGCAAAACTATCTGTGTCACTGTTTAATTTAAATAAAAATATTTATTTAAAAATTAATTAGAAAATTGCATGAAAAATCGTAATTTATCTTCAAATAATCAATGCTAATTGCAATAAATTAAATTTAAAATGTAATTTAAATTTAAATTCATCACGTATGAGGATTCAAAATGGAGCTAAAGATGGCGTCTCTGTTTAATTCAAAAACATTTTAATTTTATTTAAAAAAAATTGCATCGTAATTTATCTTTTATTAATCAATGCAAAAAATGCTAATTGCAATTAATTAAATCTAATCAGTATTAGTCATTTATTACCATATGTTTATTTAACCTCAAAACGTCAGTTTACTACTTTGCGCATTGTGCAAGCATTCAAAGGTAAGGCACACAATTTTTTTTATATAATATTAACAACAAAATATTTACTAAATTTACTAATTATTGTTTTAATTTAATAATAATTTGTGTCTATTTTTTGTTTATTTTGCGACCTAACCTATATGTTAATTGAGCCGCCCAAATGTTAAATTTTATTCGTGTAGGAGTATTTTACATAAATTTTTTATCTGTTTGCATAATTTTTAAAAAAATGTCTACCTGTTGTTTATGTATATATTATTGTATGATGTAATAATATGATAAAAATATAAAGGCTCTCTCACATTGTGTTTTTTAGATATGGGTGTAGCCGGGTTTTTGTCACTGCCGAAATCTTTTTTAAAACTAAAGTGGTGTATGGTATTGTGTCCATATTATGTCTTTAGACAATTGCTCGAACTTTTCTTACCGTAATTTATTTAAAATTTGCAGAAACTCAGAAAATAATAGAATTTGAATATTTTGAAAACAAAAATAAAGAAAAACTCTAATTTCAAATGTTTTCAAAAAACTCAAAATATTCAAAAAAAAAAATTTTTTTTTTTGAGCTTCTGAAAATTTTACATTTTTAAATTTCGTTTTTTGAAAGTTATGAAATTTATTAAAAAATTTGAACATTCAAAACAACAAATTTTGAACTCAGAAAAAAATAAATTTTTTTGAAAGTTTGAAAAATTTGTATATTGAGAATAGAAGAAAATAAATGCGTTTCTGGTAAATTTTGAAAATTATCGAAAATTTTGAATATTTTTGAAGTCACAAAAAATTTTTTTTTTTGGATATATTGAATATTTTGAAAACATTTGAACTATTTGTATATTGATGAAAATAGAAAAAAATGGGTTTTTGTAAATGATGAAATTTACTGAAAATTTTAAACATTTTTGAACTCAGAAAAAAATAGATATTTAGATAATAAAATAGATATTAAAAAAATAGATAGTTTGAAAATTTTGAATATTTTGAAAACATTTGAAAAATTTGTATATATATTTGTATGTATTTATTTGAAAACAAATACGTTTTTGGAAAAAATAATGAAAATTTTTGCAATTCCTGATATTTTTTTTTGAAAACTGATATTTATTAAACTTTTATTTCAAAATTTTTGTTAATTTGATGAAAATGAAATTTCTTGAAAGTTTTTCGTACTCAGTCATGTCGCTTAATCCATACTGCCGAAAATATTTGATTTTTGACCGCCAAATGGCATTTTTTTTCAGACTTTTGTTCTGGATCTCCAGGTCTAAAGGCCTACCTTTGTAAAAACTTGATAAATCCTTCATTTCGTGAATACAAGTCAAATGTTTTCTAAATCATTCAAATCCGATACTCCGATTTCTCCAAAACTCGATTTGTATTTTCTGCACTCTTTATTTATTCCGTAACTCGAA